TTTTACTTGGGATTTTTGGGAGAGCATTTTGGGTTTATTTGGGATTTTGGGGGAGATTTTTGGGTTTATTTTGGGGACTTGGTGGGATATTGGGGGTTATTTTGGGTTTATTTTGGGGTTTGGGGGGATTTTTGTGTTTTTTGGAGGAGATTTTTGGGTTTATTTTGTATTTTTGGGGGGGTTTTTTGGTTTATTTTCAGTTTATTTTGGGGGTTTTGGGGGGACTTTTTGGGTTTAAATTGGTTTTTGGGGGGATTTTTGTGGTTTTGGGTTTGGTTTTGGGTTTTTTGGGTGACCTTTGACCCCTTCCAGGCTCCCCAATACCATGAATTCCTTGCCTGAGGATCTGCTGGAATGGGTGAGTAAAAAGCTACAAAAAATTGGGGTAAAATCTCCAAAAAATGAGCAAAAGTCCCAAAAAAAGCATCCAAGGCAGTGGGGAACCCCAGAAGTGACTGGGGTGGTTCAAAATTCCTCCCCAGAATGGGATTTTAACCCCCCAAAAAAAACCCAGATCCCCCTAAATAACCCCAAAATTTTGGTTTCTCCCCCAAAAATAATCCCAAATCCCTCAAAAGCTCCCTAAATAACGCCAAAAACCCCAAAAATTGAATTTTTCCTCCAAAAAATCCACCAAAATTTGGATTTCTCCCCCAAAACTAATCTCAAATATCTCCAAATCCCCCTAGATAACCCCAAAAATTAAACTTTTCCTCAAAAAAATCCCCTAAAATCCCCAAAAATTGGATTTTTCCACCCCAAAATCCCCAAAATTTGGTTTTCTCCCCCAAAAAGTCTCCCAAATTCTCCAAAATTTGGGTTTATCCCCCCCACGTAACTCAGACCCACTAAATAACCCCAAAATGAGAATTTTCCCTAAAAAATGCTCCCAAAACCCCAAAAATTGAACTTTTTCTCAACGAAATCCCCTAAAAATCCCCAAAAATTGGTGTTTCCACCCCAAAATCCCCAAAATTTGGTTTTCTCCCCCACAAAATGCTCCCAAATCCCCCAAAATTTGGGTTTATGCCCCCGAAAAAACTCAGACCCCCTAAAGAACCCCAAAATTAGATATTTTTCCCTAAAAAATGCTCCCAAAAATCCCAAAAATTGAACTTTTTCTCAGAAAAATCATGTAAAATCCTGTAAAAATCCCCAAAAAATTTGACTGTCCCCCCTAAAATCCCCCAAAATTTTGATTTCTCCCCCCTAAACAACCCTAGACCCCTCTAAAAAACCCCAAAATTTGGATTTTTCCCCCGAAAGAACCCAGACCCCCTAAATAACCCCAAAAATGGGATTTTTTTTTCCCCAAAAAAATCCTGAATTTTGTGTTGTGCTCCTCCCCCAGCAGCAGCTGAGCCCCCCCGAGCCCCCCCGGGAGGGGGCGGGGCCAGCCGAGGGGGCGGGGCCAGCCGAGGGGGCGGGGCCAGCCCAGGGGGCGGGGCCAGCCGAGGGGGCGGGGCCAGCCCAGGGGGCGGGGCCAGCCCAGGGGGCGGGGCCAGCCCAGGGGGCGGGGCCAGCCCAGGGGGCGGGGCCAGCCCAGGGG